TAATCCTTGATTATGTCTGGGATATGTCTAAGCTGATTCGCTATATGATATAATTTTATATTAGGTAATCCAAGACCTCCCTTTTTTGTGTAACATACCATAATTTTTTGTTAATCCTCACTCGTTTATTTCTGTTACAGCAACAATTTATCATTATCTGTAATTTTAAGGCGGGAGTAATATCGTTAGACATATTCAAAGCTTTTGATTCAGTGGAATGGGATTCGTTAAAGATATTAATTAATTATTTAGGGTTTGGACCTAATTTCAATCAGATAATCCACCAACTTTATTCACAGAATATAGCCAAGGTAATAGTTAATGATGGTATAAGTGAGACAATACACCTAGGCCGGGGTACAAGACAAGGTTGCCCCTTATCTCCAGTATTATTTACAATGATAACTGAAATATTGGCACAGATAATTAGAGATGATAAACAGATTAGAGGGATAGATAATAAAGAAAATGGTAAGATAAATTTATTTGCTGATGACACATTATTAATAGTTAAAAATCCAGCTGAAACAATTGAAAGACTTAAAATACATTTGAAGGAATTTGAGAGTTTAACGGGTTTAAGGGTAAATTGGGGGAAGTCTGAATGTTTATTGTTAAACCACTCAGATGAAGAGAAAAGGAAAATGGAAATAATATTTAAAGGTAAAATTGGAAATGTGATGAAATATTTGGGGATTAATATCACTTGGAATTTACGAGAAATAATTAAAATAAATCTGGATAGATTAAAAACAGAGATAAGTGGAAGGATAAAGGAATATCAGAAACTAAAAATTTCATGGTTTGGTAGAGTTGCATTATGTAAAATGAAAATAATTTCTAAATTGAACTTTATATTTTGGATGTCCAGCCTTCTAAGGGAAGGTGACATCAAAATAAAACCATTGGAAATTAGGCAGGTCTCTCTTTAGTTCCACGTGCTTTCATTACATTGTCTAGCTGTAGGGTCTCCTTTAATGACTGTTTCCAAGAGCTCTAAAATTGTGCTTGAATCTGAATGTAAACGAACATATTTTTAAACTCCATGGCAGTTCTAAAACTCCTGAGGGACAAGATACATTACCTATTATCTTTTCCATTTTGAATAGCAGAATAGCGATCTGTAGACCGTTCACAGACATAAGTGTTTCTTCTTGTCATGCTAGTTCCAGAAAACACATTATTCTAAAGAAAATGGGTACACACAGTTATAAATACAACTGAAAACATGATATAGTAAGAAAGCCTAAATAAATGGCACATTTATATGTACATGTTTAGTTTCTAATTGAAACTCACTGGTAAAAATGTTTACTTTATCTATTCTAACAAATATGCTAAAGTTTCACACCAGCATTCCCCAAATGCAACTTTTGTAGAGACACTGACTCTATAAAGAAAAAAAAATGTTAAGATTATAGCATGTCAGAACAAACAATAGAATGAACAGAGAAACAGTCTGCTGAGGAACAGGCATCCTTATTTTTCTGAAAGAGAAAACAATCCATCAAAGAAACCTAGCATTGCTCTTGCAAGCCTTCCAGAATTCAAAAGAAGTTCAGAGATTTGGTGAAAGTATTTGTGTTGTTGATATATAACTTATTGCCCATGCTCAGTAGCTTTCTGAGAGAAAATCTCCACATACCTTCAAAAGGAGCAACAAAGCTACCTATCTTTTTTTAAAAAATTGTATTTTCACTCCAAGCAAGTAAAAGAAGCACCTCAGGGATTCTGTGTTAATATTGTCCATTGATTTTAAACTGAAAAATTCATTAAATATAAAATGACCAAATTCTATTTGTAGCACATGCTCAAAGTATAACTTCCTACCCATTCCTTCTGGATAAACCAATCACCTCTGCTGTGATTCTCAGGGATGTGCATGCACACTTTCAGGAATCATGGCAGACAGGGATGCTTTATTTACCAAGAAGAAAGACCAGCATGTGGATGGGGGAAGGTTTAAATCTCTCAATCTGCTTTTTTAAAAAAAATCACTCCAAAGTAGGGCAATAAAACAAGGGGAGGGGGAACATGGTACAGATGGAATTGCTTTTTTATCCTTTATTTTCCCACCCTATCCCTTTTACCCTCCAATGTGTGCATGTGTATACAGTGGTGCCCTGCATAGTGACGTTAATCCATTCCGGATTAATCGTCGCTATCCGGAAACATCGCTATATGGATAGGAAACCCCCACAGGAACGCATTAAACTCCGTTTAATGCGTTCCTATGGGGCGAAAACTCACAGTTGAGTGAAGATCCTCCATAGCGCCGCCATTTTCACCGCCTCGATAAGCGAGGGCAGCATGCGAAAATGCTTGCAGCGGCCATTTTGGTTACCCGGCGGCCATTTTGGAACCACCAATCAGCTGTTCTAAAAACATCGCAATGCGAAGATCAGTAAGTGGAACGCTTAGCGATCATCGCAATGCAATGTTTTCTCTATCTAAACATCGGAATGCAATCGCATTAGCAATCGCAAAAAATAGATCGCAATGTGGATTCGTCGTTAAACGGTGCGCTCGTTATGCGAGGCACCACTGTATTTTTAAATAAAAGCCAATTCTGGAAGGTGGGCAAAAACACCTGCGTTGGTTCCAATCTATATTTAATGTATCATAGAGTCTAATACTCTAATAAATTGAGATAACATGATAAATTTAGTCCAGAGTGGTCAATGTTGAGAGGTGTGTGTAGTTTACTCCCAAGGTGTAGGGGAGAGCAAAGAACACCCAGAAGTCACCTATTCTTCCTTGCTTTAAAGGCTTGGTGGGAAAGCGGGAAAGCTGAAGTCCTCTTGCTGGCAGCCAATCCAGAATGCAAGGTTGTTATATGTATAGACAACATGCACAATCCTTTCTCCCTCAAAGGGGAGGAGCAACCGTGCACATCACCTACCAATACAGCTCATTCACACATTATGTTGTAACTGTGGTAAGGATATGTAAGCATTCTTTTTTTTTCACCTCTCCTATTAAGCGGCTGCTTAGCTGAAGGCATGAGTGAACCCTTTGTTCTCTCCTCTCTTTTATTCCTCTTGAAAAGCCTCCGTACTAGAGAGATACTGTCTAGTGATATTTAGTCAAGTCTACCAAAGTACAGACAGAAGAAGCGAGCTCTTATATTTGCTTGCAGAATCAAAGGCTTCAGTATCATAAGAGGTAAAATCTGCATTATTAGGAAATTGCATACTGAAATTGACAGCTACAATAAGAATAGTCCAAGAGGGAAATGCAAATTCCTGTAGCCTCTGGCAAACAGTTAGCCCAATTATCTTCTAATTGCCTTGGATCATCTTTCTGTAAAAGGGTGGGGCGTGGGGGGGAGACACTGATTTAAAGAGTCAGCCATTCATATATTAAATTGTTTTGATATACAGTATGTACATTTAGAAGGCAGTATCTGATCACCCCAAACTTTGCACGTGAACTGGTTTGGCTACCAGATTTTAACAGAAGATTTTTCATGAACCCATTTTAAGAGACCAGTCCCAGTCGCCTTCATTCAGTGAGCAATTCGTAGCCAACGTTGAAGGGTAGACCAGCTCTGTTTCCCTCACACAATATGCACTTTAGTTGCAATAAGGACAGCTGTTCCGCACTGATGGCTGCTGGTTTGTAACATCATGCTTCTTTGGGCCCCACTGGTACCACGGAATGCTGAAGAGTAACTGAAAAGATGCTATCTACTGTATTTTCTTCTTGCTTCAAAATAATTAGGTACTACTGTACTTCTTTGAGAGAACAAAGCATTTTTGAAATATAGAAGGTCTCCAGGAGTTTCTAAGAACAGAGGGAGAAATACAATCCCAAGTACAACAGTTCAAGGAGTGACCCTCTTACTCCTCCTACAGGCAGATCTCCAAGTTCTGCTTTATCTGCAGTATCTTTTGTTCAGGAATGCTTAATTAAGAGGTACTATGGCATAATGGGATTTGGAAACTTCTCCCACCAACAACCCAGATGCAGATTTTCTTTTAACATGCCTCTCCCTATTTTCTACATGCCAGCAGTTACTAGATAGCTGATTTTATGACTCCTTGATTATTTGTGTCTGCCACCATTAAAAAATTTCCCACAAGAACACCACTAGCCAATGGCATATGAATTATTGCTGTCATGCACAGTTGACCCCATCAGTGAAGGGAAAAAAATCTCACTTACACTCGGAACAGCAGTTGATTTTTTCCTTTCAGGGCCCACCAGTGGACTTGCTGCCATTTCGCCTTTGGACCCAACAGCGGTGCTGCTCAGTTTACGTGACATGTCTTTGTCCCACTCTTCTTTGTGCTCACTTTCCACACTGTTTGCCTGAGCTCTTTTTGAGTAAGAGACAGCGGGAGGAATTGATGGGCCAACTGTCAAGTAGAGGTTACGTCAATGAAAAGATGTTCTCTGCATCACCTTCTGTCTGACAATTATTTTTACTTGTGCAAAAAATAAATTTACAAAATCCGCAGAACTAATATAAAAACACCAACATTTCCCTCAAAAATGACATGTCATGGACAAAGGTTATGAAAAAAAACCATTTGTTTCTTATGAATTTATTATTATGCCAATAAACTGGTTCAATAAAGAGCCATGTTCATTAGATACCCTATTCGCTTCTATGCATAAACCCTCAAGGATGTGGTTGGCTGCCATCCAGCTTGTGTATCCACAATTATAAGCAATTCTCAAGATACAACTAAGTGTTTTCTGATTTGCCAAAGGTGCAAAATAAAGTAATTACACCCAACAGCAATTCTATGGAATACACTGTGTACCTCATATGCATCTCTTGGATTCACCCACATACACAGAACTTCCTACAAGTACTGTGGAAGTTTCATATGAGAAAGAAACTTAGTTAACTTTGTAAAAGTCTGAGATATTAACTGGCTTGTATTTCCTGTTCAAAGTTGAAAATTAACAGAAACATATTAAAAGGTATAGAAACACAAGATTAGAAGTAGATAAAATAAGGCCAGTAAGTTCAAACATATTTCCATCCAGTTATATTTATGCTATGATGAATAATTGAACCTGCTTATGTATAGTAGCCTACTAATTGCAATAGGCTACATGTGACAGTCATATAGAGGCTAATGATCCAAGGCACACCGTTACCTATGCAGGAGGGAAAGCCATGTAGTATATCAGTTCTGCTATGATCAGCTCCTACTGCAAGGATCAATAATATGTGACCCTCTGGATGATATTAAGATAATCAGGGCATTAAGATAATCAGGTGAGGCTTTCCTCTTTGTTCCATCACCCTCAGAGGTGCAGCATTTGGTGAGGACATGGGAGAGGCCTTTCTTTGTTGCTGCTCCCAGACCCTGGAACTCCCTTTGATGGAAAGCCAGGCTGTCTCCATCTTTGCTGTCCTTCCGCAATCAGGCAAAGACCTTTCTCTTCAGCTGGGCTTTTCCTTAGTGACTGGCACTCTGAGAGGGGTTTTGTGGTCTGTTGCTTTTAAATGTGTTTTCAGCATAGATTTAATTTACCATATTTTCATTCATTCATTCATTCATTCATTCATTCATTCATTCATTCATTCATTCATTTTATATGCCGCCTACACTATCCAAAGGTCTCTGGGTGGCTTACAACAATTAAAATACAATACAATTTAGAACAATTAAAATACAATTAAAATATATATAAAAATTGCCATCGGACCCACAGCTAATATTATTTCAATTAAAAGCCTTCTGGAACAGGAAGGTTTTGATCTGGCGCTGAAATGTCATCAGCGTCGGCGCCAGACGAATCTCAGTCGGGAGGGCATTCCATAGTCTGGGGGCAGCTGCCGAAAAGGCCCTTTGTCTACAAGCCGTCCCTCTTACCTCCTTAAGGGACGGCTCTTTCAAAAGGGCCCCCTGGCTAGATCTTAACTGCTGGGTAGGTTCATATGGAAGGAGGCGGTCCTTCAGGTATCCAGGGCCCAAACCATACACATACTGTTTTTAGCTTTGTATATTATCTTTTTAATGATATGAGCCGCCTTGGGTCCTTTCGAGGAGAAAGGCGACGTAAAAATATTTTAAATAAATAAATACATAAAAATAACAACTAAATATTGGACTTCAGCTACCATCAGCCCTTGCCAACATACCCAATGGTAAGAGACACTCTGAGTTGCAGAACAATAAATTATGGAGGGCCACATTTTGGGGAGCACTGCTTTAATACAACGGTAATGGGAGAGCCACTTGAATATTATCCCATGCACCCATATCCAAGTCAGATCTGAGCTCTGAGATTTCTGACTGAATTCTCTCGGCAGCACTAACTACTATAGAAGTCCCTTCCTTTCATATTTTCAGTAAAAATCTTTCTAGCTTTTATGTGAAAATATATAAGGAAAAACACACATTCTTCCAGTGTTATGGCCAATGCATCACTAGGATTATAGATCGTGAGTGGCAAGTCTATAGCCTATAAGCAGCATGCAACCTGTGGAGGCAGGAAGGGATGGGTGGGGAGTTGGGAGAGGAAGAAAGAGAAAACATGCCAAAAAAAAAAATACTAGGCAAGTCTGCATTGGTGCAAATTCCTCCCCATTTCTGGGTCTGGCCAAATCCATCTTTGGCTGTAGCCTGACTTTTATTGTGAATCAATTGTCATTTGTAGGAAAAAAGTTCCTTACCTGTATACTAAACATCAACCATGTACAGTACGTTGATTATGTTTAACATGAGATAACTTTAAAAGGAAGCTTGAAAAACATACTTTTTTGGACTATAATTTCCAGAATCCCCCAGCTAGTATGGCCAGTGATGCCGTTTGTGGAGGAATCCAGGAGCTGTAGCTCACAAGTAACTTCTCCAACTTCTATGTCAAACATATTAGGCAACTTTCATTTAGGCTTTATGTTTTCTGCACTCCAACTTCCCTTGCACATTGCACTCCTCACATGCACCACCAGAAACTTTTTAACTACAAGCTTCTGAATAGGGGGAAAGCACTGGTTATGGAGAGCCAGATCAAACAATATCACCACTCCTACTAAGCTCCGTGCCCTATTGATCAGCTATTTAGGACATATGTACAAAAAGGTGAGTTTTCTGGCTGTTCCTACTCCTCTGCCTCTGTTAAAGAAAAGGTGACTTTCGAAAAGCACAAAGGAATAGGGGAAGAGTGGGAAAGCCCTGAGAACGTGGGAGCCTAATTTGTGGTTCCAAGGGCCACAGGGAGTCCCAAATGGCCATACTTGTCCAATAGCGAGGGGAATTCACAGACAGTGTCTAAATATGTACTACTACCACTACCACTACCACTACCACTACCACTACTACTACTACTACTACTACTACTACTACTACTACTACTACTACTACTACTACTTATTATTATTATTATTATTATTATTATTATTATTATTATTATTATTATTATTATTATCATTATTGAAGTATGGGACTGTTAGGAGACCTCCCCAGGATCTAATATAAAAACCACCGTACTCGGGGGGGGGATAATACCCAGAAGCATAATTTTTTTTTGTTCAAAAGGAAATCTTGAGGAATCATAGGGACTCCTGCAAAATATAACTCCGCTGTTGCTACTATGCATATAGTTGAAAGAGCTACAGACAGCAGAAGAAATGCAAATGGAAATTAACAAATGTTGACTAACTCACACTACATTTAGCACAGAAGGCTCACAAAATAAAGGTGTCAAATCACAACCTGAGGGAGGTGCACCATAACACACAGAGACATGGCGCTCCAAAGCCCCTAGAAACATGATGTACAGCTTAAAATTGTATTTGGCTACTTTACTTGGTTGAATGCCATCCCCACCATGTTCACTGAACCGACGTTGTTTCTGATTGGCTGATATACTCCGCTGGACCTTCAGATGAGCAGGAGATTGCATAGAACTGTTGTTGAGGTCACTGCTGGGTCGAGATCTCTGAGTCAGATTACTGCTGGATAGAGATTCACTTCCCTCAAACTGCAAGGATAAATAACAAGTTTTAGAATGAAACGTCTCCACATTTTCTCTTTTCCCCCTCAGAACACTTGCAGAACATGCTATATATGTGATTGGGCATCTGAACAGTCATGTGACTGACATATGACTATGACTTTGTCAATTAGCCGAAGCATCTTCTGTGATTTGTTTTGGTTGGTTTCTTTTTTTTTTAAACACAAGATAGGCTGAACTCTCTTCCTCACCTTAATTATGTCCGTTTGGACATGTGAACCAAAAGTCAAATCAGTACTGCCCTTCACAGTTCTTGACAGCTGTCATAGTGGTGATAGTGGTAGTGCATCTGGTCAGGCCCTAGTGTTTGCTCCTGCACATCATATCCCACATTTACGCCTGATACAGGAAAATATTTTAAAATCTGCTGGATATCTAGACTAGCCTTAAGCCACTCATGAATCAATACTGTAGTAAAAAGTTTTAAGATGAAATGTTCACACATCTCAGCATCCCAGTACATATGTTTTTCAATAATCCCTACAGGACATGGGGATTTACCAAATCAGATTAGAACTGTAAACAACACCAAAGTTAGCCAACAAAAAAAGCAATGATAAATTACCTCAGGCGGTTTTCTGCCTAGAAGCAGGTAAGTGGCCATTACTTCATCGTATTTTTGGTTTACTAAGGAGTCATGAATTTCATCTCTTGCAAAGCCCATAGCAACCATAATATCTATCAAAACAACAACAACAATAGAACTCAATTTATTCTTGATAGTCTATATCTAAATCTTGCTAATTGAATATAGTGTGAACCACAGACATGTTCTGCTTTCTTTTCATCCATAGCAGTGCTACCAAAAGAATTCTCTCAGATATGGTATATTTACATAATACTTTTTAAACTTCAGATTTGGCTACCCAGGTGGATTTTTCAGGGATGTGAGAATTTAGTACATTACTCACAAATGTTTCTCTCTTTGAAAAAAACTTTCCTGCCTGGTCTATTCCAATATGTTTTCCACGTGGCACTACTGTCTAGCAATTACAATTTATGTAATGCCATGAAGTCCTCAAGTTTCAATCTTCTGCAGAATTAATTTATATAACAAAGGAAGAAATTAGAGGAAAAGGATTAACAATTTTTACTCTCTATGTAACTAACATTTTAACATTCCCATGCACTGTTCAGTTAATGGGAATGAGCCATGAGCTTGCATGCTCCTGAAAGGCTCAAATCAAATTTATTCCCTGCATGTCACGTAGATGGTGATTTGTAGCTTCCTGAAAATCATATTGAGAAATCATCTTAAAAGAGTATTCTGAATTCTGGTTATAAAGAAAAGTACAAAACACCATCTCCCAGTGAAATCAAATAAATAAGTTTAGGGAGAGGTTGAGCCTGGCATATATTCCTGAGCCTTCCAAACAAGGTGTGCTAATTGGATAGTGGAGTTCAGTAGGATCATGTGATAATAGAAAAGGAGGCAAAATGAAGCTAGACAAATCAGGATGTGGTTCTGTGACATATGTTCAACGAACTGGCATAAAACCCAGTACATAGGAGTTGAGATACAGAAATAGTAAAATAAACTGCCAACCTCCTCAAATTAATTAGGAACCTATGTCTTGTTTAGTTAAGATATTATGAAGTGAACTGTGAGAAATATTATAAAGATATAAGAGTAAAGACGTATGCTAATGCCAAAGCAATCCTTACCTATTCTTTTTGTGTCACTGATATCTGGCTCAGGCTCACTGTATGGCTTAAGTTCTTCTTCTTCATGACCAACATTCATCCATCGGTCCTTCATTATTTGCTACAAAATGTGACAAAGTGGGAAAAATTGTAACGCCCAATATCCAATAAAAGGGGGAATTTTCATACTTATTTTAGAAATATTAGTAGATTCAAAGCAACAGGAAACATCCTGAAAGGGCATAACACCTCCCTAATAGAAGCATTTTCAACTGCTATTTAAAGAACAAAAAGAGAGAATACTAAATGAATGGAGATGTGTGCGGGTGTGTGTCGGGGGGGGACCTCCAAAACCACAACCAAGAAGGCTCTGTCCATCATTTCAGCAAGATAGGAGCACTCCGAGCTCAGCTTCTGAAAAATATCCTATCAGCGACACAGATCTTTGTGGTTTGGAGGTATGAAGCTTTCAGTTATAGTTTTTCCAAACTATGAGGTCTAATAGGTCTTGTTTTCTAAAAGCAGTCTCAGCCAGAATACTTACAAGACTGGAATATGATTGCAAAAATCAGAAAAGGCAGGAAATAATGATATAAAAGTAGAATAAATATTTTGGAATATATTTGATCCCCCCCAGCTTTAAATAACAGATTCTACTTTACCTTCCAAAAGTAGCTTTGTATGAATTGGCGAATGCTTATTTATTGACTACAGAAGGTGAGTACTTATTTTCTGACTACTCAAGGAACACTTTCTGTTGCAAAAGGAATGGATATCCACTGCTCTACAATACTCAAGATAAGTGCTATGACATTTTTCAGACTGCTTTTTCATGGGTATTACAGGCTGTGTTTGAGCACAGACACTAAAATAACCCAATGCCTTTTCAAGTGCTGAAGCACTTTTTCTCTATGCAAATGAGATGCATAGCCAGACACCAGCTTCTGGCAGTGTTCCTGAGGAATCTCAGTCCATTCCTCATGACTAGAGATGGGGGTATTCATAGACAAACATGAATATCCCCGCACAAGTGGCGATAACTAGGGTCCAGCCCCATGGGGCCGGATGGTCCACTCACTGATTCGCCGCTGCTGCGGATGCCACAATTCTTCCAATGGCTCTGCAGATCACAATCGGCTAGCCACTCGTGGCAGGAGGCAAGAGGACAAGCCTTGCTGCAAGGTTGAAGAGTGGCTTGCAGATTGCGACCTGCAGAGCCATTGGAAGAATTGCAGCGGCGGCAGCAGATTGGTGAGTGGACCGTCTGGCCCCATGGAGCTGGACCCTCGTTACTGCCACCTGTGCAGGGATATGCGTATACAAATATCCCCCTCCTTACTCATGACCAATTACCTCCAGATCATTGGTCATGGGTTTGCATGCTGCAACCACCTTCTTCAAATCCCACCAGAGGTTATCTATGAGGTTCAAGTTGTGTGACTATGATGGCTACTGTAGAATTTTCCAGGACTTCTTCTACAACCAAGCCTTGGTGGTATTTCAGGGATCATTGTCCTGTTGGAAGGTCCAGTGATGCCCAAGCTTCACCTTCCTCACAGATGGCATGACATTTTCTGCTAGGACTTCTTGATACTTCAGTGAATCCATCTTGTCTTCCACATGCCGTAGGTTTTGAATGCCAGAGGATGCAAAGCAGCCCCAGAGCATCACTGAGCCACCCCATGCTCAGCAGAGTTGATCTTAAATGCCGAGAAGCCACATATAGGGAGATACGGTCCTTCCGGTAGCCTGAACCCAAGCTGTCTAGGGCTTTATGGGTAATGACCAGCATTTTGAACTAGGCTCAGAAATGGACTGGTAGCCAGTGCAGTTCTTGTAACAAGTGTGTTATAAGATATGCTCCCTGTAGCTGACCCCAATCAGTAGTCTGGCTGCAGAGTTTTGCACCAGCTGAAATTTCTGAACCGCCTTCAAAAGCAGCCCCACATAGAGCATGTTACAATAATCCAAATGGGATGTAAGTAAGGCATGTGTCATTGTAGCCAGATCTGACATCTCAAGGAATGGGCGCAGCTGGTACACCAGCTTTAGCTATGCAAATGCACTTCTGGCCACCACCGAAACCTGGGCATCCAAGCTTATGGATGAATCCTGGAGTACACCCAAGCTGTAGACCTGAGTTTTCAGGGGGAGTGTAACGCCATCCAGAACAGGTAGTAACCCTATTCCCTCATCTGCCTTCCGACTAACCATTAGCACTTCTGTCTTGTCTGGATTAAGTTTCAGTTTGTTTGCCTGCATCTAGCTGATGTCAAGCACTGATACAGAGTCAAGACAGCTTCCCTGAAATTATTTTATTTATTTATTAGATTTTTATTCCGCCCATCTAGACCAAGGGTCTACTCTGGGCGGTTTACAAATTTAAAAACAATAAAACAAAAAACAGAAAAGTCCAAGACGGTGAAGTTTAAATAATTAAGATATGGCGGTTAAGATATGGCAGGAGGGAAAGCCTGCCCAAATAGCCAGGTTTTAAGTTTATTCCTGAAGACACCCAGAGAAGGAGCCAGGCGGATCTCCACTGGCAAGGTGTTCCAAAGGTGAGGGACCACTGCCAAGAAAGCCCTACTCCTTGTTCTTTCCTTCTGGACCTCCTTAGATAGAAAGGAGAGATAGAATTGGGTGTCATTTGCATACCGGTGACACTAAACCCCAAAACTCTGGAGAACCTATCTCAGCAGTTTCATGTAGATGTTAAAAAGCATGGGTGACAGAGCAGAACCCTGAGGAACGCCACAGGCCAATGGCCAGGATGTTGAGCAGGAGTCACCCAGCACCACCTTCTGAGTTCTCCCCTCCAGGAAGGACTGGAGCCACTGTAAAACAGTGCCTCTGAGTCCCATCCCAAAGAGACAGCCCAGAAAGATACCATGGTTTATGGTATCGAAAGCCGCTGAGACGTCCAGCAGAACCAACAGGGACACACTCCCCCTGTCCAGTTCGTGGCGTACGTCATCCACCAAGGTGACCAAAGCTCCAAAGCACCAGTCCCAGAACAGATCCCTGGGGCACACTGCTTTTCACCTCTCTTAATTGTGAAAATTGGCCACTGACACCTACTGTCTGTTTTTTGGTTCTCAATCAATTTTGAATCCATAAGAGGACCTGCCCTCTTATTCCTTGACTGTGGAGTTTTCTAGGCAACCTTTGGTTGTATATTATTGTATATTATTATATACTTCTGAGATAGTACTGACCAAGATAGGAGGGAAAACAAAAACAGAACCATTTGATATTTACTCCCAAGTGCTGGGAATGAACAACACAAATCACCCAGTCACATTTTTGATAAACATTCCTACAGCTGACTACAAACCTTACCAAATTTCTCCACAGATAGCAAAAAAATAAATAAAAATATAGTATAAGAAGCTGGTTTTGCAACCTGCACGCACCCTTCACATTCAGGCAGATATTTTCCTTTAGGATGCCTGCCACCTAACTACAGCAAAGGGGTGGACATACCAGTAACTTGCTCCTCACAGACCAGCTGCTATTATTCCCTGAGCTGTCTCCATTTCAGCACATCATTAGAAGACCAATTATAACCCTATGCAGATGTTGCTCCCAATCTGTGTATTTATTTATTTATTTATTTATTTTCCCTGAGCTGTCTCCATTTCAGCACATCATTAGAAGACCAATTATAACCCTATGCAGATGCTGCCCCCAATCTGCGTATTCTACATATAAGGAAGGAATAGCTCTGTCTCCTCCCTTGCCTGTTCCTGTCACCCTTTAGGCATGAAGGACAACTATCTCTTATTCACAGGAGCTCTCAGTAGCCCTATTCAGGTATAATGCCCGAAACCAAACAGTGCTAAATAGGAAATGAAGACACATAACACCTGCGCCCAACGTATTCTCCCATCTTGTGTGTTCAGTGCAAAGGTCTGCAAAGGAGCCTGTAAGCTGACAAGTTAGGGCTCCCAATCACAGGAATGCTGCATTAAAGACACAAAGGTCTGACAGGATTTTTCAAAGGAAGAAATGGAGACAGCACACTTAGTCCTTCTCCTCATCCTGTACACACATTGTACAAATGAGGTGAAACTCCCCCCCCCAAAGAAGTCATATCTAATTGTTTTCCTTTTCTAACATCATTCCCTCTATCTTCTGCAGACAGACACTTTCAAGATTTTAAGAGGTTTCTGGAACCTAGAAACTTTTAAGGCAGTTTATAAAAGGATAATAACTGAAATAACAATTTTGAAGAGATCATTCTGCAACTGCTATAGGGAAGCATACATGTCACTGAATTTTTTCCATCTCATTGTGGGAAATCCTTTCCATTCTCCCACTCTGGCATCTGGGATTTCATCAAGCAGTGGTCACACAATTTTGTTCTATCTCCACTTTCATAAAACCTTGCATCTGGCATTCTCAGAATTCTGCATTTTCATCCAACTATTGACTTCTTTGCTTACCTACATAGTTACAAAACATAGCTAGCCTAAATTTAGGCTTTACATTATTTGTCAACAAATCCTCTGGATTCATCCTTTTGAAAACTTCAAAATTGACTTTCCAGGATTGTAACTGTTCCACCCTATAGACAGGTCTAATAGTAAGTACTACACATCACTGAAGCAGAAACTGCTCATGCACACATTCTACTGGCAAGCAACCAGGCAAAGAATTATTCTGCACACAGTCACAGCTGACCAGAGGTAGTTTTACCGACTTGTGTTCAAGTTATCTTGAACACAAGTCGGTATATTTAATCACAGAAAGTGATTAAATGAGATTAATTTGATAGAACACCATCTCCAGTTGCAAATGCAAACCTACAAAGATGAAAGAAAGGCCACTGATGACTAATACACATTGTACTTTTGAAATCATTTTATCATCTGCTGTACTTTTCTTGGGTATTATGAACAAGTAGTAAATCTTTCCTGGATGCAAAGCCCAGACATTAAGATGACTGGTTACTTCAGCTTGTTGGAATTACAACATAACCAAAATATTTTGGTGAACAAAAGGGCATCAACTGTCAATGTCAAACGGGGAGCAGATATAATATGGAAATAGATTACTTTCGTACTTAGCTGTCTTTAAAACTAAAAACTGAAAACACTGCTATGAACATTTGGCTTCTGTGAATTATTTATCTTTCTTACAGGCACACTAAACTTATACTTACATAATAGTTTTAGTAAAAGCATTACAACTTCCCACTAAATATTAGATAGACATTAAGAAATGACAAAAAGAGTGACATAACACAGCAAATATTTAATATTTTGACATTCTTAACATACGGTTTCACCTAAAAGTGACACCTCTGAGGATACTGTATTTTACATTCTTTTACAATGTATGTTATGTTGTTTGAACCCTGCAAGTCTATTTATTTAACCATGCTGTTTATGATTCAAGGTAATCTTATGTTAGATCATTTACATCTCTATACTGGACTAAATACTAGTGGCATCATCAAATTAAGGAATCCTTAGTGTTACAGTATGCTGATTAATCAAAATCTGCATAAATCTGAGCATGAGTAAAAAAATCTTGGTAAAGAAAAATAATTCTTATAGCAGACAATATGTAAAAGGATAAATCCTTTTGCATGTGGTGGTGCTTAACTCCCATACTAAGAAGGTGCTTGTCTTTATATTAAACTGTAATTTTTACAGCCGTTTGATCTAATAAAATGAGAAAAATATTGCACCCCTTCTCAGTGACAGAAGACATTTTGAAATCATTAGCTTCACAAGAAATTTGCTTCATGGCATTATGTAATTACCACATGGAAAGCCGCTGCTTTCGAATAACGGACAAAAAATTAGCATTGCCTATGACAACTGGCTACAGCTTCCCAGAATCATAAATTCTCAATCAGAAACCATATAGCTACATATGACCATTGCTAAATTCTTCCTTGGACAAGAGACTTCAAAGAGGAATTTTCAAGCCCTCTGTTTGCAGTATGAGAATGAAACAAGGAGATTTTTTTATCCCCATCAAGACCTCTATCTTCATGCAAAAAGTCTCTGGACAAAATGACTGCCTGTTCTTTTTGAGAATCAAAGCAAGCATGAACAGAACAGAAACATCCCATCTAGTAGTTCTAATTCTTAAAAGTCTTAGTAAAGAGATAGCAGTTTTTCTCACGTTGAGCAAGTGCACTATTTGCTCATATGTAAATCTTCCCAATGAGCTAGGAAAAAAAATCTCACAGCCAAGGAGAAAATAAATGTACTACTTGATCATGCTCTACATACAAGGACAAGAAAAGCAAGGCTTCCCATCCCTATGGCAATGTAGACTGAGATACATTTTGTATAAAGCAGCATCTTCCAAAGGAATATTTTTATAAAAATAAAATGAAAAACTATTTAAGAACACATGTAACAAAATGTCCAATATTTTTAACAAGAAAAAAGTATATTAAATAAAGCAGTGAAACAACTTTCTGTTTACATTTCAGTAGAACCTTTACCTTTACCTTTACTGAGATACCAGGGGAGAAACACACACACTCCTTACGTGTTTGAATTATTCTACTGGATTTTGCAAAGAAAGAAAAGACCAGATAACTTACTTCCAAACTTCCTCTCTTGATTGGATTCAAGACAAGTAGTTTTTTCAGTAGATTTTCACAGTCTGTGGACATATAGAATGGTATTCGATACTTCCCTCGCAACACCCGTTCTCTCAGTTCCTTTAGAAAAAAATGTAAGAAGAAATCTGTCATTAAGACAGAAAATTTGAAGACTTGACTTTGCTCTTTCAAATCTCAACGGTACCTTTAAATTTTGACCATCAAAAGGCAATGATCCACTGACTAGAGTGTAAAGAATCACACCAAGACTCCAGACATCAACCTCTGGGCCATCGTACTTCTTTCCTTGAAAAAGTTCAGGGGCAGCATATGGAGGGCTTCCACAAAAAGTGTCCAATTTGTTGCCAATTGTAAATTCATTGCTAAAACCAAAATCTGCAATTTTAATGTTCATGTCTCCATCAAGAAGAAGGTTTTCTGCCTAATGGGGGTGGGAGAAAGAGAGAGAAAAAAGAATTCTGTACATAAATATTAATATAAAAACAATCCTCTATTATCTTCTTTACAAGGAGAACATTTGTCTTAGAGATATAGTTGTAGAAGGGGTAGCTGTGTTAGTCTGTGCAAGCATTATAGGTGAAAACAAAATAAAAATAAGAAGTAAAAAACGCCAAAAAAATGTAATGGCACCTTAATACCTTTTTTTAAAAAATGTGAGCTTTCATGGACAGTTCTGATGAACTGGACTTGTCCACTAAAGCTCACATTAAAAAAATAAATAAAAGTTAATCTTTGAGGTGCCACTACATTTTTGTCTTTTTATTTTGTTTTGACATATAATTATTTTAGAGAATTACTTGCTTTACAGTCTATTACAATACAAGAAGGAATCACTGCTGCTGGCAATGTAGAATTAGATATAAAATATGTCCATCTACACTGCTCCCCGCATCCACTGAAGTCTGCACCATACCCTGTCCTCATGCTGAATACGTCGCCAGCCAATTTTCCTTTAAAACAAGGCCTCTGGAAGCACACAGCTTATTTTGAAACCCGAAGTATGTTTCTGAGAGTATGATTTCTCAGAAACAGAACACTTTATTCCAGAAGTGAACTGCTGTTCCTGGAGGCATCTAAAAGCTGCAGTTTCCACTTCTGGGCAAAAGGATACAGAATTAGGGCATCCACGAGGATGACAAAAACAGCACCGCGAGCTGCATGATTCCTACTACTACTGTAGTTAGTGATTCCAATGTAAAACACAGATTTTTTTTCTCCTTCTGTCTCCTCCCACATATTTCCCTGCCTTAGATGACATTAAAAAAATACAACAGAGATCTCATTTAATTGCACGTCCTTCAATAAACACATCGTAAGATTGCTGAAAATTCTAGAAGTTTGTTTCTCTTCAAGTTATAAATTTGAACTTATAAACAGTTTTCTAGTTTCATATCTCTTCCCTGACTTCCCCTATTCCTGAATCATTTAAATTATATTAGCACTGGATATCACAATGACTGCTATCTCAAAAATTATGGACCCACAGTCAAAGGCAGCAAGGTAGACAGCTTTAAAAGGAAGAATTAAAGTTTTGAAGCAGATGCTACAGATGACACAGAGCCTGTGCGTAGGTTTAAGATTCACTTTGAGAACAGAGGACAGTGGATTTGGTAGTGAGTTTTCAGGGTTAACTGAAGACAGAAAATGTAATAGGACAGACTGCCAAGAAGGCAGGTGTTAAATAGCACTGCAATGAGATTTGAAGAAAGCCAAAGCAAGGGCTTTGTATCAGATACCAAAAGCACAGGACAGACTTTAGAGATGCTAAAACAGTAGTAATGGCTCCCTATTTGCTATCAATGCATTTAACAAGGAAACAACTTCATTAAAAGCACACAAGACCATAATCTGTCCCACAATGTTTCATCAAGAGAGATCTGTTAATTTCACTTTTATTTTATAGCACCAAATCACTATCCACAGTTATTATTGAAAGTGATTTTGCAAACTTTGGTAGACAAAAAATTATGATCGAAAATGATGTTAACATCATTAGCCCCAAAAGGGGGCAATTCAAATGCCATAGGGATATAAGCAATTCCTAGATGAAAAGGAGCTGTTCTGTCCTAGAACATGAAAATGAACTGAATAAACTAGGGAATGGGGAATGAAGATAATGTGGGTCGAGGGGAGAACACCCAGCAGCAAGGCTCTTCCAAATACCTCAGTACAGTAAAGAAAATGGACAGCATTATGCTTGCACTAAGACATACTGGGAGTGATATTAAATTTTCCCAGGACTGGAAATTGGGAAGATCTGGCCACTGCTCTTTGGCCATACAAAGGTTAAAAATGAAGAACTAACCAACATAATCTAGGTGCTGGTAAAATTCCATATGATAAATGATTACAACATTAAACTTGTTTTTTAGAAGGACAGTAATGGGAGATACCACAGAAGTGATTAAAGGATGCACAATGTGGAGAATATGGATATGGCAAAGCTCCTCTCTCTCTCTCTCTCTCTCTAGAATGAAGAACTAACCAACATAATCTAGGTACTGGTAAAATTCCATATGATACATGATTACAACATTAAACTTGCTTTTTAGGACAGTAATGGGAAATACCACAGAAGTGACTAAAAGGATGCATAGTGTGGAGAATATGGATAAGGCAAAGCTCCTCTCTCTCACACACACACACATCCACACAGACATCCGCACACACACACACACACAAGTCATCTGCGGAGTCACCCACTGAGATTGAATGGGAGGGCATTTAGAGCAAAGGAACAGTACTTCAGTACATACCGTGTTTCCCCGAAAATAAGACAGAGTCTTATATTAATTTTTAATCCAAAAATGCATTAGGGCTTATTTTCAGGGGATGTTTTATTTTTTCATGTACAGCAATCTACATTTATTCAAATACAGTCACGTCATCTTCTTCTGGTTGCTGCACAATGGTGGAGGGTGGGGTTTCACTTCAAACAAAATACTGTAAATGTCTTGTTTGTAATTTGTTTTTAACCTTTGTGTATTTTAATTGCTGCAGGTACCTTGACATTTAAAGTGTCTCTTTAGGTTTAGGCTTATTAGATTTCTTAGATGCCATTTTCTTCATTGGAAACCGGATAAGCCTAACTCTAAAGAAAGATTCTGTCACCACTGCCATCCCTGCTCAGGGACATAGTGGCCAGGTGGGCCTCTTCAACCACAGGTTTCATGGGCTCTGGACACTCAACTACGTCACCACTTGGGTTTTATTTGAGCAGGGAAATAGTTTACAGAGTCACTTTGTGCGCCTCGAGCCCCCTGTCCCAGAGCTCTAAAAGGTGGCTTAGTTTCCTTCACTGGCACCCTAATGCCCAATATCCCTATTTGTGGCCCAGTTCCCATCACTGGTCTGTTAGTGTTCATTCTTTGGGGCTGGGGTTGAATCCACAACACTGCCCTCAGCCCCCTGACACCCCTCAAGGAGGGCTAATAATGCTGGACTGATGAGGGTCCTCTTGCTCCAGCTGCTTGTCCGGTCCTTGGCCTTCTTGCAACAAGTGCTAGTGCCACTGTTTCCACCTCAAAGACCTCTTCTGGGTTGGAATGAGTCTCCAAGGTCATGGTTTAATAGCATACTAGGGCTGCTGTCTCAGAGGCCCTGGTGAGGGGAAGATGGCTGTTTCCCCTTCTGAGCTCCTGCTTGGGGCAAAACTGACCCACTCCCTGGTCCAAGAATCTTGCAGGAGCAGGGAGCAGTCCTCTCCTAAAACACAAAACATGGGGGAATGTTCTTCCCAGGCTTCAGCACAGCCTTTAGGTCTTGACTCTGATGGCAGTGGACAACTTCCTCCCCCTCCTCCCCCCCCCTTTGGCCCTGGCTGTGGCCTCTCCCTTCAGTGTGGCTCCTCTTCCACCTTGCTTTTACCTGGGCACCCTTTCTTGCCTTCTGTGTTCCTGGGCTGCCCAGCTGCCAGGCTTAGCATAATTGTCCAAGATGTGCAGGGACGAGGTGGATGGCTCTCTGGGGACAGTGAAGGAGTCTCCCTCACAGATCTGAATAAGGTTTTTAAAAATGCATTTTCTATTCTCTCAGAGAAGCTATTCCAGAGAAAAGGTCATGGAGATATTTATAAGAGTAGAAGGTAATTAAAGACTGTATTAGTGGCAAAGAAGACAAGATGGTTGGCAGTGTCACCAAAGCGACCAACATGAATTTGACCCAACTCCGGGAGGCAGTGGAGGACAGGAGGGCCTGGCGTGCTCTGGTCCATGGGGTCACGAAGAGTCGGACACGACTTAAGGACTAAACAACAACTAGTGGCAAATAAAAGAGATTGATTTTAAATAAACTAATGACACCTTCATGATCCTGATTTAAAAAGGCAGGAAGCTCAAAGTTTGATATGAGCAGGATGGGAATCCTGCTGTTACCATGACAGAATCAAAAGGGAAGAAGACTAAAGCAGATATTACCCAAGAGGTAATATATTACCCAAGAGGTTTTTTTAAAATCCACATTTATAACACTTTCTCTTCTTCAGGAGCGTGTGTTGCCTATCATTAATCTCAAAACCGGTGTGAAATGAAGGATTGTTTGAAAAATATCTAAATTGAATATAATGTCATGTTATGTTCCACCACATTAGCAGTTCTGAAAGGAAGAAGGAAGAGAAATGATCTTACCTTGAGATCACGATGAACAATGCACTTCTGATGGCAGTACTGCACAGCAGACACAATCTGGAATACCATTGTCATGATTAAGAAGAGAACACACATAAATAACCCTAGGAAGAATACTTAGCATTCTTTTTATACTTTAAAGAATTCAAAATGTTTTCATATATAGTACTTGGGTATAACTCTTCTACAGTCCAATAAGACAGTACAGCAAGTAGGCAAAGACAAGCTTTCCCCGAGTGAACGGCTGCTGAGTGGGGTTTTTAAAATAGATTATTGTACCTTATTGCATTGAATGCGTTTTGGTGTTACTTATGGTTTTTGGTATTATATTCATTGATCCTTTTAGTACTGTATACTCATTGCTACTAATCTTAAACACTGTTTTTTAAAGGAGAAAGGAAGGTTAAAATATTTTAAAATAAAATAAATAAAAATAAAGAAATAATTGTCTTGTTCTACATGAGGACCAATATATGGAGAAAATAACTTGACTAATGCTATCCAATGGTCTTGCTCAGGTCTCAAGTTTGAAAACCATCATTGGCGTGTTTGCCACTAATCATACTCAACTTTAAACCAGTGTTTTTTGGTTTTGACAAGCCATGCTGAGTAAAAGCAGAATACAGTACAACATTTCTGAATGCTACCTTGTGATTCAACTACCTTGTGAGCAATGGTTCCTAACCCTGAGTAATGAAGCTGTTCTCGGTATTGAACTCCCTGAAACCCTAGTCAGCGCAGCTAGTGGTGAAGGCTTCTGGAAGTTGTAGTCCAAGAACACCTGGGTTACTCAGGTTTGGGAATTATTGAACTAGTATGTGTATCTGATGGTGAAGCATGTGAACCCAAGGCTCACTTCACACAAACTTTTAATTTATCAAGATGTCAAAACACTGTTATTGAGTTCTAGGGCCTCATGCAAGGAACCTTTGGTCCTCCAGTGGTTTTAGACTACAATTCCAATAGCCCCTTTCCACTGGCAAAGCTGGCTAGGGCTTCTGGGGGTTGGTCTAAAACACTGTCTCTTAATCTGTGGTCCACAGACGCCTCGTCGTTGTTTAGTCGTTTAGTCGTGTCCGACTCTTCGTGACGCCGAGGGGTCCACAATGTCTTCACAGACGCCTAGGGGTCCACAATGTCCTCACAGGGAGTCTGAGAAGGCTTGAAGAAATGTTATAATCTTGTTATAATGAACAAATGAAACACAGCAAGAAAGAAAAGTAAATGTAGAACAAAAATCTTAATTTCCCTTGTTTGTGTAAAATTTGGCTTTTCTAACCTACCGCCTCCATTAGAAGCAAACAAAAAGTAAAAATCAGTTACGAAACTAATGGTTTGATAGCAAATAACTGTTTGATACTGTGTTTCCCCGAAAACAAGACAGGGACTTATATTAATTTTTGGTCCAAAAAACGCATTAGGGCTTATTTTCAGGGGATTTTTTTTTCACGTACAACTACATTTATTCAAATACAGTCATGTCATCTTCTCCTGGTTGCTGCACAATGCTGGAGGGCGGGCTTTCACTTAACCCGGGCTTATTTTTGCATTAGGGCATTTATTACGTGCATCCTGGAAAAACATTTAAGGCTTATTTTCCAGTTAGGTCTTATTTTTGGGGAAACAGGGTATTTCTCCACACAGTGAAAATATGCTGAGTGGCAGAGAGACAGCAAATGAAATTTCTTGCTACTATGCAGTTACTAGAGGGGCTCACAGCAGCAAAGGAAGACAAATTTATTTCTCCCTTCTCTCCACATTTTAAGACCCTTCATGAGAAACTTTCAATAAATATTTGATGCACTTTAGAGTTTTAAATCTTAAGTTAAGTCTTGGTGGTCTGCAGCAACAAAAGATATTTAAAGGGGGTCTGTAGTAAAGAAAAGGTTAAGAACTGATGGTCTAGAACCTCAACACACCTGTAGTAGGGATGTAAATGTACATTAGAAATGGGCACCTTCTATTCATTTCCCTGCAGAAACAAATTTACCATACCATGGTACCCCAAACTTGCCCCCTAGAACTGGCCGGGCCACTTGCTGGACACCACACAGAGCCTGACTGTCATTGTCATGCCAGTCTTGGAAGGAGCCTGGTTGGCCCTTTCTTGTCTCCTGACACAGCCAACCACACATTACTTGAGTGGGGAGACTCTCCATCCCATCTCTGCCCCAAAGTGGCCAGCTGTGCAGGGAGGCAGGGTTACTTGAGTGGGGAGACTCTCTATCCAATCTCTGCCCCAAAGTGGCCGGCTGTGCAGGGAGGCAGGGAACGGCCAGCTGGATTTCTTCCAGGATTGATGCAACAATGATGATGACAGAGCTGAGTGCCATGCAGAGTCTGGTAAGTGGCCCGGCCAGTTCTGGAGGGCAGGATTGGTGCTGCAGTTCATATTAGTTTTTCCAAGGAAATGAATATGAGTACTCATGCCTAATGTTCATATTTAAAAAATATACCTTAATCATGGAATCTTTTAGGTTCAAATCCTAAAATCAAGTATTCTACATTTGACCGCTATATGCTGATGATTTCTTAATCACATATTTTCAGAACAACCAACTTGTTAGTAACAAGAACAACCAACAAAAATGATAATAACCCCTTGGACTATCCCATTAACCATAACTAATGGCAACAGAGTTGGTCTTTCTAAATATATCTCAAAGAAACTGGATGCTTATCAGTAAATGAACTGCAGATATAGCAACTTGAAAGAAGATTAACAAACAACACTAAGAAAGTAATTTTGGATATAGGAGACTGGTTCCTAGTTCTTCTTTAGGTATTTTAAGACAGTGTCAGATAATGTAGCATCCAGTTCACAAAAGGCCCTTAGATGTCTGCAGAGGGTTCAGTAACACCTGTTACACCAAGGTATCCATATTTCAGCAGATACATTTGTTTTAAAGATATTGGCTGAAATCCTGTTGCTTAGTGTAGTAAGTTGCACTAGAGTAGACTCACCGAATCAGTGGGGATTTCATGAGTCAAGTCTTCTGTAAGTTCCATTGATTGAAATAGGCTAAAGAAAGTCACAACTAGAATAGGCCCATTTCAAACAATGGAACTTATGGATGAGCTGACTCACCGATTCCATAGGCCTACTGTAGTGCAACTTACTACAACAAATTCTTAAAACTATTACTATTCAGAGCTTTTCTCATACCCATGCTCAACACTGAAAACACATTTTCTGTTGAAGGCACAAAGGTTATAGTTCCCTTTATAATAATGAATTCATACCTGTCTAAATTTTGCACGTGCTTCTTTCTCTTTCATTCTTCCATGTGCAACTAAGTAGTCAAAAACTTCTCCTGAAGGAGAATACAACAGTATTACATTGTATTGTGATTACTGCTAAGCACTCATTCTAGCATTACGTATGTATTTATTTTAAAAAATTATGTCACAAAGCAGATTCATTTAAGCAAACCAGATTACTGGTATTCATTATTTTCCCCATTTTATTGTGACTCATACCACCAACCACAACCCACAACCAAACCCTGAGATCTCCATACCAGTTTGTGATCTAAGATCATAGATTTATTTTCTAGGAGATACTGGAATAGATGTGTTCAGCACGTCACAAATTTGGCATTCAAATTATACTCTTGCTGCAAAGAAAAGCTGACTATGCAGGTCTTAATTAGTAAACAGAACAATAAATCCTTTTATAACTATGAATGATCCAATGTATTAACAAACTGGCTCCTAGTCTTGCTGAACCTATGCCGTTTTTCTGTAACTGAAGATACAAGGAGTCTTCAGCAATTTAATAGAAGAAATAATCTGTCTCAGATTTCCAAAAAGGTCAATAAAAATTACTGGCCTAAAACAGTATTTTAACTAGACTGCTGGTCTAACAATAGATTCAGAAGTTTCTCATTGTACAGTGAGTGCCTCAAAAATATAGGAATAAAGAAATCCTCTGTCAAAAGCTTCCCAGCACTACAGGCGAAAGTGTAAATTTTATTCATTGTAAGTGACTGAATAAAAGGTTATTTTTAAATATGATCTGTTAGGATGACTCACTATCTAACTGGCAGCTTCTCCATTAATTCCCTGATCATTGGTGGAAAATAACTGGAATTGTTGTAGATCTGAATTCTCCACAGCATCAACCAACATATATAAGGTGAAGTTCTATCACTACATAGGCATCTCCTTGTGATTAACTTCTTTCTTCAAAACACAGGCTTCCTGGGCCAAACTTTCTTTACTTTTGGTAATTCTTACAAATTAAGCAGGACTCTTTCTTATGTGCTTAGTTTTGTATGCACAAGAATGATTCTTTTGTGGAACGTCAAATTGTATGCAACCATAACTGCAGTCTGAAGGGGTACAAACCAAACTTGGTTTTATCAGCACATGAGCTGTAGAAGAAAAGTAGGCCGCAGTCTTAATTTTTTTAGCAAGAAAGATAATAAAGAAGTCTATACTGTCCATTGGTGGGAGATATGTATTTTAAAATGACGGACAGAAATGGAGGGAAACAAGGAGGAGATACCGTATTTTCCATGTATGATACTTTTCTCTAAAACATTTAGATTAAAAATTTAGGGTTGTCTTATACACAGAAGTAAGGAGGAGGAGGGATCAAAGCACTTTGATCCCTGCCTTCCCACTCCACTTTCTTGCAGAGAATTCTGGGTTAGAAAAGTGGGGGGGGCCTCTTATATGTGGGGGCATATTATACATGGAAAAATACAATATTCTAAAGGGCGGTATGATGGTGTAAAGCATCTAGACTATTATGAGAAATTGGAGTGCCACGGAATGTCTCCCCTTTTATACCTTATAGACGTATTCATTATTCTTTGTGACCATATCTTGTTCCAATTCTCTGCCTTAATTTCTTCCTCAAAGTCTTCCTGCCACTGTTTTTCATCATTGCTTGTTCAAATCCTGAATGTACTAAAAATTTTATAAATTAAACTGTTCCCTTTCTTTTGCTTCCTTCTTCTTGATCTTCTCTTTGTTCGATAATCTCCTCAAATTTTGTCAATTTCCTAATCTCTCCTTTTCTTGTCTATTCTCTAGTCCAACTTTCCATTTGGAGTATATTTAACCAGGATATTCCCTGTTCCCCCCCTCAAGTTTCCTTTATAGTATTTTTATATTTTATCTTTTTCATCCAACTCTTTATTGTGTTTAACCTTTTCTCTATTAATACTTCTTTTTATTTTGAAGAGTTTTGGGGAACTGTGGACTCAATATATATCTGTAATTATTCCAGCACTCTGCCATATTCATCAGAAAGGGATTAGTTATTCTCTTAATTTCTCCTACATTTCTTTAAAGAAAAAAAAAGCCCTCCAGTCTGTTAGGGTATTCTTTCCAATTCAGTCTTACATGCAATTGAACCTTGTGCAGAAGAAGGAAAATACATTCTCCTACATGAGCTCATTTTTAAGATCCTTCTTAACCAAGAGACACACTTAATAAGAACATAAAAGACAGTCTTCCCAGTGGCCTTCAAAGAACTGTGTTCTGTTTCAGGAAATATAAATGTAGGGATGTACCAATATTACACACAGAGAGAGCAATGCTATAGTTTATGGTTCCTCTGGCACTGTATGCCATCCAGTAGATAACAAATGCACTGCCACAATTCAGAGGTGTTATATCAGCTGCAGCTTGACCCCCAAATTAATACTTTTCAAACAGATATTTCTGGAAACTAAATCTGAACATTTACTTACCTCCACTAGCATATTCCATGACTAAGTATAGTGTTTTTTCTGTTTCTATAACTTCAAATAATTTAACTGCAAGATAAAATAATGACAATATATCACCGTCACTGAAACAATAAAGATAATCTGCAAAGGAGCAGAGGTTATGTGGCAAGCTACTACATCATATCCCAGTTACAAACAAAGAAGAATCCATGCTGAAATAAAGGTGGAGTTCTACAGATAAAATTTTTAAAAACCAAACCACCCATTGCAACAACTAGACTGGGTTAGAAATTGTGCACATTTTGTTTTCATAAAAAAACAAACCACACCACACTATAAATGCCGAGGGAAACAGCAGAACCGTTAAGAATTGGAAGGACACTGGCTGTCAAGTATTTTAACAAAATAATTGTTGTCATTGCAGAGTTTAAAAATAAGCCAACAAGAGCCAAGCATGTTGGGAAAACAGCACACTCAAATGGTGGAAGGAGCAAGAAGGGCATACCCTATATGCAACAATGTGTGTACCTTTATATGCAACAAGCCCTCTGGCCGATTCAGGAACAATAACTGTCTCTGGAACAAAATTATTCTGCCTTCCTCAGCCAGAAGAATTGTCATCATAAAATAGGGCTCTAAAGGTGTGGGAGACTAAAGCAGAAAGGGAAAATTGCACACTTTATTATCTGGTTTCAGCTTTTCATAATAAAATGGTATTGATTTAACTAAAATCAAATTTTAAAATCCATAAATCAGCATCACATAATCATACAATAACACTTACCATGTTTCCTTGAAAATAAGACAGGGTCTTATATTAATTTTTGCTCCAAAAACACATTAGGGCTTATTTTCAGGGGATGTTTTATTTTTTCATGTACAACAATCTATATTTATTCAAATACAGTCATGTCATCATCTTCTGGTTGCTGCACAATGTTGGAGGGCGGGGTTTCACTTAACTGGGGCTTATTTTGGGGGTAGGGCTTATTTTTGGGGAAACGGTAGCATCTACATTGCACTTTCAAGGATACACATTTGTTGATATCCATTACTTCATTGCAACCTTCATAATAAAATTATCAGTTAATATTTCTATCATTATCTACCATTTTGCAGAATATGAAACCAAGGCTGTGAAGGCGTATCGTATCTAGGGTGACTTTGTGAGTTCAGGGTGCACACGAGATTCAAACCAAGAACTAGCTGATTTACAGCTCATGCTCTTACTCATTACACTATACCAGCTGACAATTATAATCAATTATAATTATGAGAATTCTCATGATGGGAACTGACAGGCTGGGGTTGGTCTCTGTGCTCCTCAAAGTCCCAGTGGTCAGCACAAGACTGGTTTCAAAGTCAACAGTGGCTGTCAATGCAGACTGTGACCAAGTTTTTTGGCCTCTCGTCTTTCTACAATGGTGTGGCTACTCAGATATTCCAAATACCAACAGTATGCTAGCTTATGCAAGCCTGAAAATTTATGGAGCTGGTCATCATCAGGATTTCAGACTGAACATATACAGAAATTCTTTGCCTGACAAAGGCTGATTTTGATTGTCTGATTCCTCCTTTGCAGAAAAAAACACCTTCTCTCTTTTGAAGATAACTAAACAAAGGTCCACTATAAACGCAATCTCATAAAAAGCTGAAAAAGTAAATTGATTGTATTCTTGTGGAGCAGTGGGTCTTCAAATGGAAGCCACAGTTTCCCTGTTATATTCTTCTGGTAAGAACTATAGTTCCAATTAACTATTTTCTAGAAGAAACATAATTCCGTTAGAGCACAGGTTGCTGACCTCTGAAGATGCCGGCCACAGAGACTGGCGAAACGTTAGGAAGAACAACCTTCAGAACACGGCCAAAGAGCCTGAAAAACCTACAACAACCATAATTCCGTTACTTAGAAACTAAAAAGAGAAATTAATAAAAACTAGAATGATTTTATGTGTACAGTACTGGGAATTTGCTCACAGGCTATTGATAGGTTGATAGAAAATAGAAAAAGATGCAAACATGACAGGTAATTCAGCAGAAAAATGGCAGATCCATACCAATATTAGGGTGGTTCAATATCTTCATTATTCGTACTTCTCGGAACAGCTGTTTAAAAACAAGAAACCACTGTATTTAAAAGATTTTTATATCAGTATATCCAAACAACCACTGCAAAACATAGTCCCTTAGAAACAGCCAAAGATTCACCACTTCATCCTTAGATTTTGAGTTTTGACAGTAGAAATCTGCTCAACTTTTATCATTTTCACTCAAAACTTTACTATGTCACCACACTCAATAACATCTATGATCAGAAAAACTTAGTTGTTTCTCATATTGGTGATCAAGTGTACATAAAGAAATAGCAATTAGGCAGATTAGGATAAAAATATGAGGATAGGCCTTGCTCTTCGGGAAAGGTATAAAGACCATTTCTTACAGTAGAGTGTGAACATATATAGCACACTCTTTGTCAAGCAAGCTGCATCTGCAAAGAATGATTCCCAGCAGGTCAAGATCTGCTCAGAAACATTATCTCATCTTTTGCATACAGCAGTGACAAAATAGTTGAGCACTTTATTTATTTAGAGAAAGTATGCAGGTTTGCCAGGAAGGAATGCAGTTATTGACATGGGACAGAAGAGTAAAGTGAATAGATTTTAGCTGAATCCAAATACGGTTAATAAGACTACTTTGGACTCTTCCAAAAACACCCTATGTCACTGCATGGTGCATGTCTAGAGAGTCATCAAACACAGATGACAGACCCAGCTAAACCACTTATCCAACAAGCCCCTGAAAACAGCTTGTAGCATAGAACAGCTGCCACAAGGAAGCTGTTCCAAGCTATACTGTGAGAAATGCCTCTCTGTTATTCCTGGATTCTGTTGCTCAGTTCCCAACTATCAACAACTGTGGCATACTGAAGGGAAAAAACATAACAAAGCCTTCTGACAGGCAGCTGAATTTTTTTTAGAAGAAAAAGAGATATTCTCAATAGAGGCAAAATTGTGTCATCATAAAAAACTGTGGCATGTTTTTGAAAGAGATGTTATTCAGAGTCTCTACATGCAAAGCTCCACTTTTTAGTAAAATACCTTCTCAAAAGTATTTTACAAACACAAACATATTATAAACAGAACTATGAACTAATCCAAATTGAGCACAGAAATCAAATGCTAAGTTACTAAAAGTCAATCTAGAACATCTAACAATGCTTAAAAACCAAAACAGTCAGTCATTGTCCCATCCCACTGTAAATTTTGTTCCTCCCCACTTTCATTTTACATGACTTATTTCTGTATTTTTGTGTTTCATTATGATTCTCTGCTGGTTTTACCTTTCTCTCTCTCTCTCTCTTCCTCTTGATTAATGTCTCATAACCAGCTCTCTGTACCAGATGGTGCATGACATTTTCCTCTATATGCCATATCCACATTCCTTGCATTTTCTCAGTCCTTTTCCCACCTTCATCTTGTGGTGACACCTTATACACCACCCACTTCTGGCATGGATGAGGAAGAGTTGGAAGGGATGGAATGGGTGGAGTGACTTCATGACAAATGGGAAGTAGATTAATGGATAATTAATAGATCGCTTTTGGGATTTGAAGCAGCAGAGTGTGTTCATCTCACTTGCTCCCATGCTTAGCAGTATAAATGTTCTCCATGGTTCTTCCATGACGATCCTATTCACAAACTGAAGCTTTCCCATACTTTGCCAGATTCTGAGGATCCATTGCTCATGACTGACTTGAAAGGGGTGTTCTGTTATCAGTGGTGGGAAGGTATCCTATGCAGGCATGAGATGTTTGAATTTTCTAGATTACAAATATCACAATTCTTTATTTTGGCGATTCTACCTGTCTTGCAGGCACCTTATGAACACCTCAGTATGATACGCCTGGGAGAATCTACTATATTAGAAGGCTTTGAAACTTAGCTTAGCCAAGCTTCCTTCTTAGAAAGAAAGCTCCCAGCCAGCACTGAGGCAGGAACAGGAAGCTTGGGCCTAACTAACCCTCAAAGCCTTCTAATGTAGGCCTTTCATCCAGGTATATTACACTGAGGTGTCTGTAAGGTAGTTGCAAGTTATGTAGAACTCCCAGAACAGAGAATTATGGCATTTATAGTCCAGAAAATCCAAACCCCCATTCCTACAAACCAGCATGGTGAAATGGTAGTGTGATAGCCACACAGCATTAACTGCTTGGTCTGTCTGTGAGGGTTTGACTTTTAGCTCCCTATTTGATTCAAAGAAATCAGTCGATTTTTGCTGTTTTAAAACAGGTGAAAGGTTTATTGGTGTATTTAACAATAAACAAGTGTCTGGAACATGATTCTGAGTCTTTTCTCCTTCTGCCAATGGATCCGGAAGGGGTTTCCAATCTTCAAACAGGAATGGGTTTCCAAAATTATAGTTCCATGGTCTCGGTAAATCAGCAGGGACCCAGTCTCTTACAGCCTGCCCCGGTGGGCCTTTCAGCAGGGGCACGGTCTCCTTGTCCAGGTCATCATCCCACAGGAACTGTCCATCGGGAACTCGACTCTCCCAGGATCCTCCCTGTAACTCCTTCTCTTCATCTCCATTACCCTCCATTCCAATCTTTCTCTCCTCTCTCTCTCTACTCGTTTTTTCTACTCTTTCAATCTCCTCCTCCACTCTCTCGCCTTGGCCTCTCCCCAGTAAGAGGGTCTAGGTGGAATCTCCGCTCTCCTTCTATAATCTGTTTCCTCCTTGGGAACTCTTAATCTCTCTCATAATCCTCCAGAGATCCTGCATCCACACCTATTCCCAACCGGGTGGTAACTGCCTCTCTTTCTTCTCTATGTCCCTTGTTCCTGCTTCAAACTGCACCCTCTTTTTCCTCTCTCTTCCTGCCTTTTCTCCCTGAACCTCCCTCATCACTTTCTACATGTCTTCCGTCAATTCCTCTATCTCTGTCACCTGCTGAGGTTTCTCTGTAGGCTCTGGTGTGGATTTGGGTTCCACTTCCTTAGCTTTGCTCTTGAGGAGGTACGGCTCTCCAGTGAGTGGGGTATCCCTCTCGCCCTCTGTCTCACACTGTCACAAGGTCATTTTCCATGGAATGATATGGTGGCATATCACCAGTAGCAACAAAAGAAAGTCCACTGCAAAAAAACAGGATTGAAGGTCTGCTCTTTATGATAGCCTGGTGATGTATCCCAAGGAAAGGGAAAAGGGAAAAAATAGATTTTTCCAGCTGGCTGGTGGACAGTTGGCAGAACACTCAATCCACACAATGGTATGGAAACAACTTCCACCCATCCATTCTCTCCAGAACCAGTGTGTGACTGAAATGCCAAGTTCTCCACTAGCAGGAAAATATATTACCAGTTCAGTGGAGTAGTAGTAGTAGGGAGGGAAAAGAGTTAATAAATGAACAAAGGGAAGATGTACAGCCCTTATTATGCTCTGTAGTAGCAACAGCATCCACTGTCATGTTGCAATGGACAAAATTCACTATCTTGGAAGGCTAGTAGATTACTGGAACAATGGAGGATAAACAGGTTAGGCTTGCAATGTAGACACATGCACAATATTATTATTATTATTATTATTTATTGAGGTTAGGCTTGCAATGTAGACAGATGCACAATATGACTTTTCCATAACACATCGGCCACGGAAATACACCAATGCAAAAAACGGACAATTAATTTAGACATCTCACTGTAGTTTAACTGCCACTTTTGTACCAGTATGAAAAGCTACAGTTTATTCTAGGATCACTGTACAGATCACATTGCAATACAATATACATCACTTTAGATCATCCAGCACCAAGTGAAATGTCCTGTTTCCAAACAACAGCCAAGACCACTCTACAACTCTTGTCTGAATTCTACCAGGAGCAGAGGCCATCCTGCTGGAATGCCTCCCTCGCAAGGGTGAGACCCTTCCAGCTGTCCATCTGGAGTACAAGTAAAGACCATTCCTTTTAAAGCAAGCTTTTATCAATTAAATTGGACAGAACAAAGGTGTCTTACTGTGGAATGCCCTATGTTTATTTTTGACTGTATATTTTTAAATGTGTTTGAACTGCTTTTTAATATTTATTATATGCTAAATTGCATTTTAGCAATTTAGAAGCCGAGGCTGTCCTACTTCAGGCACATCATGAGAAGACAGGATTCTCTGGGAAAGACAATAATATTCAGAAAAGTAGAAAGCAGCAGGAAAAGAGGAAGACCAAATACAAGATGGATTGACTCCCTAAAGGAACCCACAGGCTTGAATTTGCAAAAGGCAAACAACGCTGTTGAGACAAGGACATTCTGTAGATTGCTCATTCATGGGACTGCCATAAATTGAGATGACTTGACAGCACATGACAACAAATTGTTTTTTAATGTTGCAATTTTATGGTGCTTTTAGATGCATTTGTTTTAGCTATTTGGGAGTCATCATGGGTCCCTTCACTAGCACAGATGACATAGACATGAAATGAAATAAATACTCCTGTGCCAAAATGTAGGTCAAGCAACATTCACCATCTATTCCAGTCTTATAGATAAATTGTATTTATTTATTTGATTTATATCCCGCCTATCTGGTCTACTCGACCACTCTAGGCCAACAACTCTGGTCTTCTCGACCACTCTAGACCAACAACTCTGAAAGCGATGTAGATGTCCAATAATAATGGTTGAAATCCTGTTGATTAGCATAGTAAGCTACACAAGAATAGCTTTACTGAATCCGTGGGGATTTGGTGCTTCAATTCCTCCATAAATTCCATTGAGTCAAATGGGCCTATTCTAGTTGTGACTTATTTTAGCACAGTGAGTCACAACTAGAATAGGTCCATTTGAATCAATGGAACCTACGGAGGAATTGAACCACCAAATCCCCACTGATTCAATGGGCTTACTCTAATGCAACTTAGATTTCAGGATTTCATCTAATATTTCCTTAGAAAACAAAAAAAGTTTTTATTCTTGGAATATGTATATAGGGTAAATTATTTTTTAAAAACCTTACCTTTTGTAAGCTAGTAGGATTCAGTTGGGTTTTGTCTATTATTTTCACAGCAACCTAAGAATGGAAAGAAAACAAATCACCCTTAAAACCATTTATCTTTCTCAAAGGTGCAGTCAAGTGTGCATGTTTGAGATATATATCAGCCTTGTTTGGACAGACACTAAACCATGATTCAGTGTGATGAGAAAAAGGCTTGGGGCCCACATACTCCAGTGTGACCACAAGAAGAGCAGAAGTTTTCTGCTTTCATATTTTAACTCACCATAATTCCCCATTATGCTGTTCACCATTGCTTCAGTTCACCATTACTTTAGAACTGGATAAATAGTAGTTTGTTTTAACTCTATGATTTAACGGCAACAAAAACAAAAAGTTCTTCCTTATTTCAATGAATCAAAATTGGGAAAATGTTCTGCATAGGTGTGGATCACACCTGCTAATAGTTGACTGATCTATGCTTTCAAAGACACTTCTCCCTTCTGAAAAGAAATGTCAGGCAGGGGAGGCAACACACGCCAATTAGTCCTCACTGCCAAAGGGATGCCCAACACTTTTAGGCATCAGTGGTGAACAGTTCAATCATGCCAGAGGAGGAGAGTGCACTTGATTTGCATAGGGCCATCATGAAGATTTGTAATTTTCAAATTTTAATATACAGACAAGAACCCAAATTATATTAAGTAGCAGGAATTCCAACGAAATGGATAGCATATTCATATGTTTAAAAGGTTTTATGGGCTGAAAACCCTTTGCTTAGAGTAAGCAAAATGGTAATTTTTGGTCCATTCATCCCTGGTAAACAAAATGTTCAGAACATGATTCACAGCAACAAAACCTTATGATTTGGCTTACACTAAGCAACAGGATTTTGGCCACAGTATCAAGTGAAGTGTGGAATATTATTCACAAGTAGAAAATACAAATATACTTGTGGGTTCTCTCAAACGGGAACACTGTATTTTACATGTGTCCATCTGCATTTTATGTAGAGTATTTCATTCTACCTTATATCTCCAACAACATTTATTTAAACTTTTCAGGGAGATTGTCATGGTAGTCTGAGTAAAAATGGAACAAACACACCACAATGCTTTTATGTCTAGAAAATTTATTTTAGTGAGAGGTTTTGTGGATTACCATCCACTTTCCCTCTACAGCTACAGATTTCTTATGCTGGTAATGTGAGTAATTGCAACAAGTTACGTAATCCAGCTGAACCAACAGCAGTAGCAGCAGCAGAAGGGGAAAACTACCATTTCTTTCTTTCTTTCTTTGAGGTTTTAGTAAATGGGATAAGAATCCTTTCAGGAAGTTTTCACTGTGATCTCATATTTTTACAGTTCTGTGTGCAGAATCAATTGTTGCTAAAAAGTCTCAAAACATAAACCAAAATCAAATCCTATCTGTGCACAAATAAATCCCTCTTCTCAAGAAGGGCATAACTAGACATGACATGAGTACCCAGCCTTCCATTTATTATATACTGATTGTGTTCAAACTGGTTTTAAGGACAATATGAATGGATAGGGAAGTGAACTGGATTCTTTCCCTGCCCATGTTTCCCCTCCCCCCCAAAAAAACCATTTCAAGCCATTTTTCCCTCTGAGATGGAGAGTCCTTCTATGTTTGGAGTCCTAGCAGGACAAAGGTAGTTAATTATCTTAGGGTTAATCTTCCTGCTCTTTTACCTCAATCAACACTCACTTTGTTCTTCAAAATACTCCATCCTAATCCCTCTACTTCCTAGGAATGTAGCAATAGTTTTAATTCTGTCCAAAGATCATCCTCTCATACCATCATGTTTCCTTTAACTTAAAAAAACACCTGTTACACTTAATCAGCCATTCTCAACCTTTTTTTTGGCCATGACCATAAACTCAGTATGAAAGAAATACAGACCAAATCAAGATTGTATAAATCACATAACAAGCCTTATATAAGGTGGTGTGTGAAGAATTGTTTCCAGTCTGTGGCCCCCTTCAAATGTGCCAGGGCCTGCCAGAGGGCCATATAGCCACCGTTGAGAATGGCTGAGTTAGAGGAACAGCAGGGTTACTGCAAACAGGCAAAAGAGTATAAGGTAATATGATCAAATTACCATCAAATAAAACAACTGAACGGCTTACCTCTCTACCTGTAAGAACATGTCTAGCCAGCTTCACTTTAGCAAAGTTTCCTTTTCCTATTGTTTTTAGTAAACGGTAATTCCCAATGTGAGGATGGTCTTCATTTGTAGATGTGACTGAGTTCCTGCAACGGGGTACATTTTGTCTGCTACTCGGTTTTGTGGGCTGGACATGAGGCTCAGTATATCCATCGACAGATGTGTGCTGTAAGATTAAAACAGCATCAAAATTACATTGTTGATCTGTATAGAAAATGCTAGTTACCAAAAAATTACCTTACAGGAAAGAAATAATCCACCTCATAAAAATCTGAAACATAAATAATAACCATGTGTTCATAGGGATGGGGTGGCGCTGCAGGTTAAACCGCAGAAGCCTCTGTGCTGTAAGGTCTGTACATCTTCAGCTATAAGATCGAACCCATGTGACGGAGCGAGAGCCCATTGCTTGTCCCAGCTCCCGCCAACCTAGCGGTGCGAAAGCACGCTAATGCAAGTAGATAAATAGGGACCACCTTGGTGGGAAGGTAACAGCTTTCTGTGTCTAAGTCGCACTGGCCACGTGACCACGGAAACTGTCTTCGGACAAAACGCTGGCTCTATGGCTTGGAAACAGGGATGAGCACCGCTCCCTAGAGTCGAACACGACTGGACAAAATTGTCAAGGGGAACCTTTACCTTTATGTGTTCATAGGAAGAAAGCCAATGAAATAATTGTCTTTGTTATTATTTCCTTTTCTTAAAATCTGACCCTTTTGTACTTTCAGCTGGGAATTGAAACATTTTTAATTGAAAAACATTTTCAACCCTACCCCCTCCCAACAAATATCATGGCGCAAGAAGAGAAAATTTCAGGGAAGTGGTTGATCTCAGTTATGTAAACAAATATTGTTATCACCCCTCTTCCTTCCCCATACAAATAAATTAGGGATTTCTTTAAAAAAAATCCTTGAGGATTATCAACATCATTGTAAACTCTGCTTTCTTTAATGTCTTCCCTAAGCAAACATATGAAAACAACCAACCAAAAAGCTTACAGATGATAGATAACCAAACATTTTAATCTGGTTGTCAATGAAAGTGGCATGGGGCCTAGATATTTGAAGGACTGGCTCTTTCTGTAGAAACCTGCCTGATCACAAAGATATGCTGGAGAGGTCCTTCTCTGTGCCCCTACATTGAGAACAGTTTGTTAAGTGAAGATACAGAGGAGGGCTTGTTCTGTCATAGCACCCCAACTGTGGAATGCCTGCCCTTGGAGGCTTCATTGGCGCCAACACTAGTGTCATTTCAGCACCAAGTCAAGACATACTTACTTATTAAAACCTTTGGAAACTGAAGATCATGGCCTGCAGAGGTTTCAATGCACTGTTTGAATGTTTGAATTTTGTGCTGTCTAATTTCATTTGTTTAAAATATTTTGTTTTTAAATTTTATTTATACAGCTTTGTAACCTGCCCTGAGATCCTATGACATAGGTCAGGCTATAAATGTTTAAGTAAATTTTCAAGTTCATGCAATATGGTACAATGAAGGGACAGGATGATAACCGATTCGTGTTGCCTATTGTCTTCAACCTTCAATTCACAGACCTGTGTCACTGTGGGTTTGATTTCAGGCATCAATTTCACCTGTCAATGCACCATTAATGCATACTGTGCTTCTGCCATACATTCCTCACCACATCACACAATCAGTTATCTGTTTTGTTATACCTCAAAGTCTGACCTTTTCTTATTTGGAAATGTTCTCCCTGAATTACAGTATGTCATGGAAAGTGAAAGCAAGTGCCAAAGCAGGGCACTTGAATGTTAAGAAGAACAAAATCGTGACTACAGAAGAACTACAGAATTATAACAAATACAATGAAGAAATTGAAATAGAGATTTTGTATACCTTGGTTCAATCATCAGTCCAAATGGAGACTGCAGAAAATAAATCAGAAGACTGAGACTAGAAATGGCAGCAATGAAGAATTAGAAAAGATCATCAAGTGTAAGGATGTATCAGTGGAGACAAAGAGCTAGATCACTCACATTCTTGTATTTCCAATCGCCATGTGTTGGTGTGAAAGCTCACAGGAAAAAATTAATTCATATGAAATGTAGTGCTGGAAGAGAGTTTTGTGGATAGCCTGGTCAGCCAGAAAGACAAACAAATGGGTCCTACATCAAATCAACCCTGAACCATCTGGAGGCAAATATGTTGAAGCTGAGGCTGTTCTACTTTGAGCACATCATGATATGGCAAGATTCTCTGGAAAAGACAATAATGTTGGGAAAGGTGGAAGGCAACAGGAAAAGAGGAAGACCAAATGTAAGATGGATTGACTCCCTAAATGAATCCACTGGCTTGAATCTGCAAGAGCTAAGTGGCACTGTTGAGGACATGACATTCTGGAGACTGCTCATTAATAGGGTTGCTATGAGTTGGAAGTGACTTGATGGAATATAACAACAACAACAAGGGCCACCAGTGAACCCTTACAGGAATGGATGTGGCCCATGAGCCACACACTTTCCACACTTTCTTTAAAGCAATATGTCATGGTCAAAGCTGTTAACTTCGTTAAAAAACCAAGCTATTCAGACCATACAGAACAGGGGTGTCCAACCTTTCTCCTTCCCTGGGCCACATTAGAAAATGAAAATTTGGTTTGGGCCGCACATACATTTGGTTTGGGCTGCATGGGGGGGCAGCCCTAGCCTTCCTCTGCAGCCCTGCTCCAAGCGCGTTTATCGGCAGCTGCGATCTTAGACAGCAGAGGCTGCCAGCTTCGACTCCGGTGGCTTTATGGGGCCGGGAGGGGGTCTGCCTATTGAAGGAGATGGTGCAATGCAGTCACGCATCCCCCCTGTCCCCTCCCCTCCCCTCCCACTCCTTCCTTCCTTCCTTCCCTCACTCCTCCTCTACTGTTGTGACATGCCCCGGCCACATTCCGGCCGCAAGCACCAGCAGTGTAACTTGAAACTTTGGAATTTCTTTAAAAATAAAAAATTGCACTGGGCTGCATTACGAGCTGACCTGGGCCGCATGCGGCCCTTGGGCTGCAGGTTGGACAAGCCCATACACACTTCCTTTCTCAAAACATGGGCACACTTATGTTTGCCACCTCAGACTATGCAAAACAGATTCAGCTCCTCCCAACATTTCTGTACAGACCTCTGAGGAAACGTCATACACAAAGAAGAAATTGCTAGTTAAGTTTACCCTTAGAGATCAATGTTTTGCAGACCACAAGATGTCAGTGATAAATCTCCTGCCTTCCCAGTTGTTGATGTGCTGCTCAAAATTCTTTATTTTGAAAGTACATTTTAGGGTCAGATATATTCTAGCAAAAGTTCAACTGAAGTGATAGAGGATTAAGAAATGCCTAGAATTCTCACCTTGCATGCCATTCTACATTATTCACTTGAGTAAAAGAAAAGTAGAAATTTTAAGTTTTCTGAAGGTGGCAGAACTGAGAGGTAAAACTACAATATCAGTGAACAACAGTGGTAATCAAAAGATTGCCACCATTTGTTCCAATTGGGGGGGAGATAACAACAACAACAAAAACAAAACATCTGTAATCAACCATAACTATATGATGGCTCAGTGGTTCCCAACCTTGGGTAGCTCAGATGCTCCTGGACTGCAACTCCCAAAAACCCTGGCCAGCACAGCTGGTGGTGAAGGCTTCTGGAAATTGCAGTCTAAAAACACCAGGGTTAGCCAAGGTTGGGAGCCACTGCTATAGCTAGAGAGCCACTGCACTGTCTATGTAACAGGAATCACCAAAAGCTTACTGGGGGGTTGGGGGGATCACAAATGCAAACTTACTAGAATCAGTTTTTTGATCTTCATTGATTCATACAGACCTCATTGCTTTAGAGAGGGAAGGTGACTGTGAAGGCCTCAATGAGACAATGCAAAATATTTGCCTATTTTTTTTTAACAAATATGACAGCATTTATAGAATCAGAGAGTTGGAAGGGGCCTATAAGGCCATGGAGACGAACTCCCTGCTCAAATGCAGAAATCCAAATCAAAGCAGATCCGAGAGATAGTTATTCAATTTTCTCTTGAATGCCTCCAGTATTGCATTTCTTCACCATGGTATATTTCATCTTATGCAGTAATTCATTGGTCAGATACAGTGACTTAAAATAGATCATCAAATTATTTATGAAAGTTTTTAAGCAGTGTATTTTTCAGTTGTGAATCAGAGCTGAGAACTTTCAAATGTAGCAGCTCCTAACATGAATCAGGACAAATTATGCAGAGATCCCAGATATGTATTAAAGATATAATTGGAGAAATAAGGTAAGTTACCGTAAGTGGTATGTTTGTCAGAGGAAATTGAGCTATTGCATGGTTTTGCCTATCTGCAACATCTTTCAGCAAATCACAAATACTAAAACCATGTTGTGAAGGAATTGAGGAAAAAAGGAATATGGAATTTGCTAAATGGTAGGGTTTTTTTTGCTTCTCTGGGAATGCCTGAGAAACTGGTCAAACAGCCAGAGGTCAGTATGTGTCCAGAACAAAAAGAAAATTCACACTTTCAAATAATCTCCTGTTAATGAACACTTTACAGAAAGAGATCTGTTATCGAAGCAGTCCCATAAGGAATCTCACATTTTATGCAGACTGCAGCTGCCAGAGAAAAAGGGAAGATTATTTTAGGGAACATGAAAAGGAATTAAGATGTTGATTGTGACAGATGTGATACAGCTCATTTATTTGCATAAAGGGATTAGAGAAACTAGTTGGATATCTTAGCTTGTCTCTAAGAAGGCAGATTTTGCTCACCTGCCATCCACTTGCTGTTCTACAAAGCTGTACCAGGAAAGAATACACTCTGAATATGTCCCAGATCCAAACTATTGCTCTGTTAAGGAATCAATATTAGGTAGGCAATTTAGCTTTTGCTGTTCTCTTGTGAGTTTCTCTTACATTGCCTAAGACTGTCTCTGTACTCTGCTACAAACATCTTTTGCAATCTTTTTGTAACATTTTGGAACTTTTGTCCTTTTAAGCTTTTTTTCCCTTTTAATAAAATACAAAAGTCTTTTCAAGCAGTTGTCTGGACTTTTGGCTGAGAGGGTTGCTGATACTAAAATCAGGTCTTACCCTGACCAAACTACCATGTTTTTGGTGTTTGTGAGTGTGTGTGATGGCAGCTCTGTATCTTGATATGTTGGTGTGTGCTCCAAGTGCCTA